AAAAAAAAGAAAGAGAGTAATCGCTCTTGAAGTTAACTCGAACCGTAGTAACCGCAACCGTAGTAACGTGTTTAGCTCCAAACGCGTCGCCATTGATTCGTCGGGTCGGCTAACAGTATAATGAATTGGCACTGGTATTGGTACGTGAGCGGTCGCGCGCTGTTGCAGCATCAAGTCGCGCCTTATAGAAATTAGTTTTCGCCCTGTGCGCGGAACAGAAGTAACTGGTTACTGCTGTAACTGATTATAGACGCTCGACCTCGGCTGCCACGTGAACTCGCCTACACATTGTAAGCTGCTCTAGAGCCGAGTTCCGTCTGTCGCGCAACAGAATACAGATGGTCACTGAGTTGTCTATACGTATTGACAGATCGGATGGTGTCGCGTTAGCTCGAACTCGTTTCCAGCAGGTTCGCTGATGCGGGCGGGTGCTATGGTTCCGGTTTTGCCTGTAGCTATTTGGTCGGTTACTACTGCGTTGGTGCTCCCATCGCCGCCGTCGCTACGTTACCTTCGAAATAGCGATTTTTTGTATGTACTAGGCATGGGAGATGATCACTTAATAGCGGGGTTACAGAAGAACGCATGATATTAAATGGATCGTACAAAATTGCATGGTGGTATTCGCAGCAGTGAGGCTGTTACACCAAGAATTTTATTGATTTTATATTGCAATGTTCGATAAGGTTGAGGATTAGGAAAGTCACGAGAGATAACAGAGTGTTTTTGGACAGTGGGTTGGAACTTGTTGTATCTTGATTTTAGGCATAATCATATTATATGCATTCGACTATTAAATATGAATCCGTTATTTTTTATTTAACGAAATAATGGAAAATAAAAGGAATGTCAGAATCGTTGTTCGCAAAATATGAGAAATAGATTCGCGGCTTATACAACAATTTAAACTGATTATTTGTGCGAAATGATAGGAAGGATAAAGTTACATTAGATACAAATAGAAAAAATTACACTTTACAAAAAGTTTAGATATAGTTTTCTAGCGAGTACCGGCGACTAACTTGAAAGTCGGAACCTCGTTCAAATCGGGTATTTTTTCTTGGAACGGTCGCGTAATTTAACCGTCGACTCGTGTGGGAACCCGGTACTTCCCATGCACTGATTTATCGTGCTTGAGAGAATGCATTTTTGCCACCTCCTACGTTATCAACATCGTTCGCGAATGTTTACGAACGTTCCCTTGTTACAAATGGGAACGTCCTCTGTATTACAGCATTTATGTTAGAGATATACTTAATGAAATTACAATTGTATTTCTAACATTGAAATTACTTATTGGGTGCGACTGTCATAGCTAATCTTAAAATGCTGCCGGGTGTGTATAGATGTCGGATTATATCGAAAAAATTGGTTATCTCTCTCTTTCGCGATATTTATGTATCTGATAAGGCAACGCAAACCTACGTAAACACTAGCTAGCCATCATGTGGATGAAATAAAATTGGGCTGTATAACACACAGCTGTATATACTTTCATGAGAATTTTATATAGAGATGTTAAAAACAAAAAAAAAAGAGGGAAAAAAAAAAAAAAAAAAAAAAAATTTTTTAGAATTTTTTTTTTTTTTTTTTTTTTTTTTTTTTTTTGTTAAATAATTTTTCTTAGTTTGGCAACATTGCATTAAAAAGGTGTGTCATTATGCCTCCATATGTTCTACCAGCGGACTCTCTGATATAATAAAAATTTCAAGCAGTAGAATGTCCTTGCACGAAGACCAGATCAGTTGATTGTTTCATAAAGTACCTATTTTAATTATTATTATAAATTTTTTTTTTTTTTTTTTTTTATAATTTTTGAGAATAATGCAGTTATCTGCATCGGCAGTATACAAATATAGCTATGTTAGTCACGCTGATTAAGCTTGAACAGGGCGCAGACAGGTGTTGCCACTTTACTACTATAGTGCTTTTTGAAACCAAAATTTTGGAAAAAAAATAAAATAAATTATACATAATACTAAACAGTTATTATTTCATCAACAGAAGCACAACTCCTTAACAACACTTAAGGAACATATTACTACGGGCGTGCTGGACACGCCGCGCTTGTTCGATGGTCAATTCACGCACGAGCAACGGCTTTTCCGTTCAAATATTCTCAATAAAGTTGACGATGAGTATTTTACGGCTATTAAGCTTGCTGTACTCTTCGACTAAGAGAGGGTTCTAAAAATACAGCAATGTTGATTGCAAGATAGTGAACTTTTCCAACTTAAGTATGAACAACACTATTATTAAACCGAACGAATAATACAAAACTATAATAGTGTAACGTTTTTAGTATTCGTTAAATGTATTTTTTTTATATATAATATGATAAATGATGTCTGGCGTATCGTTACCCGATTCCGTATCGTTTGGGCCTGATGATTTATTTGGCACGTTTGGCGTTATTTTTACGTTCCCTGGTTGACAACCCTGTTATGGTTTGTCACAACCCTGTTATCGCTCCTGTGGAGGCGCTGTCACCATGCTTGGTAACTCTCTGGCTGTGGACATCACTTTGGCTTTTTAGCGCTCTGTACTAACTAACCTTTCCGGCTTTTAGAAAATGGTGACTTATCTATTGCTGTATAATTTTGAAGTCACTGCTGTTTCAAAGCAACAGGGCAGAGTTTTGGATGTCCCAACTTAACTTGTATTTGTATTTTGCTGCACGTTGGCGTCCCTTTACTTTTGTCCTCCAAAGAATGTTACAGCGGAAGAAAGGACAGTTTTCTTTGTTCTTTTTGAGCCTCGAAGTACTTCGAGGGGTCCAAGGTACGGACTGATAGATTTACAAGGTAACGGGCATTATCAGGTCCTAGTAGTGTTCTGAGGTACGGGTAGTGTTCCCTGTACCGTTGTCTTACGGACGGAAGCTGTGTCCAAGGTACGGGGAGTGTTCCCCTGTACCGTTATCTTAAGGACTACGTTATTTATGGACGTACTTTGTCTTATGGACGGACTATTTTCAAGGTACGGGCATTATCAAGGTCCTAGTAGTATCCAAGGTACGGACTGTTTCCAAGGTACGGACTGGGTCCAAGGTTATTTCCTAGGTTATGGTCCAAGTACAAGGTGTTCCTTTGTACCATTATCTTATGGAGTACGTTATCTTATAGACGTACATTGTCTTATGGACGGACTATTTACAAGGTACGGACTATTTCTAAGGTACGGACTGTGTCTAAGGTACGGATAGTGTTCCTCTGTACCGTTATCTTATGAAGGACTGTGTTCAAGGTACAGGCATTATCCAAAGTCCTAGTAGTATTCCAAGGTACGGGTAGTGTATCTCCCTTGTACATTGTCTTATGGACGGATGTCTCGTGGACGAGTGTCCCCAGTAGGAGTGATTTATCTTACATATAAAGTGCCCAGCGTGGATGTAGCTCGAGCCCCATGCTGCTTCTTTCACATTTCTAAGCCTAGTCAACAGTTACGGCTTTATTAGTTCATGGAGTCCTCAGTCTGGCCCCTTTTTGTTGTATTGGCGAGACAAAGTACAGAGATACGAGTCCACCTCACGCTGCTACTGGTTTGAAGCAAGCAGTTACATAAAGCAGGCTACAGTGTAGATTTACGTTTAAGTTTTTATGTTTTAGATTTTCTATATTTTCAGTCATAAACAGTAACGTACATTATAAATAATATCGTACGGACTCTGTTAGTGGTTAATTGTTAAGACATATTTAATTATTTACATTTTTTTTTTTTTTTTTTTTTTTTTAATAATTATTAAAATGTACAGTCTAATTTACAATCAGAATACATCATGAATTAATATAGTCACTAGTGTTAAGTAATAAACAACTGAGTTTTCTTTCTCTCTAAAAGTTTAAAAATAAAAAAAAAAAAAAAAAATATTTTTTCTGTTTATTGTCTATTGATTAGTTTTTCTCTCTATGAAATGACGTTATCACACGACTGTTACGATGAAAGCTGCCGTTCGCAGTGGGAATTGTTTAAAAAACGCTACATAGCATCAAAATCGAATGACACTCCGTAGATGATGTCAGGTAATAAATAAATACATGTGACAACTTAACATGTTTTACAGCAGAGCTACCGTCTGAATCGCCAGCGGAAAATTTAAATTCCAGTTAGTTCAGCCGCGTCGCCGAATAATTCCATGGTTGGCAACAATGAATTTAAAAATCGTCGCCTTGATTACGTAACTAAAAGTTTAAATGGTATCAAATTATACATATAATTAACGAAACATTAAACAAATCACAGGCGCGCTTGCTAGTGAAAATAAGCAAATTGTGCACACTATAAAATATATAAGGTATTTAAAACAATTTGTACCTAAATTAGATCTTCAAAAAATCTTTTAATGACAAAACCTGTAGATACGTCGCTCTTAAACCTCCTTAATCAAAATTCTTTGTTCATAGTTGTAAATAAATACAAATCCTTGTTATCGTTTATTATATTTGATTTAGTGAATATTTTTTAACAACATTATTATATTATTCTTAAGTCCCTTACAATTTACTGTTATTTGCATTGTCAACTCTACCTAGACACGTACATTCCTTCTTCCTTAACTCCTATAAACTCGATGAATTTTAATATTCCGGAGCCAGTGTAATTAATTTTAATATTTCTCGTAAACTACCCATAACTCTTCTACTACTATATAACGCTAAAAAATATTTAAAGAATTAGAATTTTAATAAACTAAATAGGCAGATCTATCCATACATCATCATAATCTCGAATACAATATTCAGGGTGAGCCCCTTTCTTCTCTTTGCTAATAAAAGGACCCTCAACGTGAGCTCCTAAAATTGTAGCCCCTTCAGGACCCCCTTTCCTGTAAGAAAGCCTGGGCAGAACCTCATGATATATTTCTACAGGGGATGTTACTAGGGTTGGACAATAAGATGTAACTCCATGTTGAAGGATTTTTTTCGATACCATATCGATTCCTTCTTGGGAATCCTGTCTTGTAATATGCGAATCGGAATCAATATCCCCTAAAGTAGATATAAAAATACTTATATAACTGCTTCGAAACAGCGAATTTTGTTTGTAGTTACCGTTAATTTGTAGTTCGATAAAGCCAGGTGCAATAATGTTGCCTTCACAGTCGATTTTATAATCGGATGATACTTTCTCGTCATAAAATACTTTTTCGGGGTCAATGATTTTTCCATTTCGAACCCAAATGTCCTCCTGTATTATTTTGTGGTCCCTTAGTATTTACAATTTTATGAATTGCTTGATTTTATATCGCTCTTTTCGTGGCCATATTTTTTTATGATGGTAATCTATTCAAGGGACTGATTACTGATAAGTTTCCTAAACTAAAAAGTCAAATACCTGTTGAGGAGTGTTCATCATTTTAACAACTATTGCTCAGATTGCAATAAACAAACTACAGAACTTGTTATTGAGTGCGTTTTGAAGAATGTCAAAATTCAAGCTATAACAACAGGTAGGTAAACGGGTAAGCGCAAAAAAATAATTCAAAGACAATGAAATAAAATATCCATTTTTTTTAACTGTTGCTTAATAATAATAAAATAAAAAAAAAAAAAAAAAAAAAAAGTTTAAATTATTTTTTTAGGTTTTTATTTATTTTTGCAGTTTTTTAAATCAGACGTAAAAGAAGTTTGAATAATAATGGTAATAAATTTTATAATTAGACAATAGCTTATTTCAATTACACAAAAATATTTTTTTTTTTTTTTTTTGTTAAATTATTATTTCAGGTAAATCTGGTATTTTTACTGCTTGGTAAACAATGCGTTGTATACTACAAACTACACTACAGATAAAACTGAGACATGTTATAAAAATCTTTTTCAAATCGTATTTAGTATATATAACATATTTCTTATTGTTCTTTTCATTCAATATTATCTAGATTAGAATTAATAGTGGTTCATTGACCTAGATTCTCAGATATGGTCCCCCGCCGGCGCGGAATCAAGAATAAATAACAGATAGTTATTTTAGGTGAAATAATATTGTTACACCGATGTTACAACATCCAAATATTCTATTAACAGTGAAGAGAGATTATTGTCAATAATTTTTTGGTTTTTTTGTTAAGTTCAATAAATATAAAATATTTTAAATAATTTCTGGTTTTATTTTAAGGTTTCTGGAAGATAATTTGAATTAGTTACCACAATCGTTGTATTACTAGTTGCATAACCAGGACATTTTTTTAGCGCCATCTATGTTTTCAAATCAAAATTTGTGCTTTCAAGTTTTAAATATACAGCGCATTCGAGAAATAATAGCATGCATTTCAAAAATATTTTAAAAAAAAAAAAAAAAAAAAAAAAATAAACAATAACATTATTGAAAATAAAACAACACAATATTAAAAAAAAAAAAAAAATTTTTTTTAAAAAACAACATTTTTTTTTTTTTTTTTTTTTTTTTTTTTTTATTATTTAATAAAATTTCAAATCATATAAATTGATCTATGATGGAATTGAAGATTGTGTATTCGGAAATAATAAATTATTATAATTTTTTTTTTTTTTTATTAAAAAAAAGTATAATGAAAATACATAATAAGTAGATTTATTCCTTAAAATATTATGATTTCATTCTAATAAATAACAAAAAAAAAAAAAAGGTATACAATAAAATAAAAAAGTTTTTTTTTTTTTTTTGTTTTGATTTTTTCCAAAAAAAATTTTTTTTTTTTTTAAGAAAAAAAGTTTAAAAATATATTTTACTTACTCCTAGAAAATAGAGACTATCTAAAAATGATATTTAAAGCTGCACCTTTACAAAATCTAAGAAGGTAATAAAAAATGAATCATTTTATTTACACATCTATTCGAGAGACATTTTTTTAAAAATTTATGTTTTTTTATTTATATCAATATTTGGTTTGTTTTCATTTTCATTATTTTTCGAAAGAATATTTGTATCAGTTCTAACATTGATATAAACAAAAAAACCTTATAAACTTAACAAATAGAAAATAATAAATTTTTTTTTTTTTTTTTAAGTAATAAAAAAAATATCTAAAAGACAATATATAAACAGGAATTCTTAAATAATATCGTTTAATATATAAAATCGTCCTTTTTTTGATTTGCTGTTGTGGTACACCCTTAAGGGAGTATAAGAACCATATTCCTTCATACCTGTAAATAAAGAATATATATTTTTTTTTTTTTTTTTTTAATTTTATTGTATCTTTGGAACTAAATAGGTGACGTTAGTATAGTCTGTTTAACGAATAACTTTGAATTGACAGTTCCCGCGGGCTTTTCTAGTGTAATTTTATTGTTAGCAACGCGGCCCATGCCTGAGCAATGGACGTACTCTATAGAACCCTCGGAGCGAGATTATGACGTCACACTAGTTAGATAATAAATAAATCCCTTATTGTCAAAAAATTTTAAAATACATGAAAACATAATTATTCCTAAAAAAATAAAATGTATTTTTAAAAATGAAATAGTTTACATAAAATTACATAATATAACAGTTTAATAACAATATAATATACCGTATTTATAGTAATAAATCATTTGGCAAAATAAAAAAAAAAAAAAAAAAAAAAAAAAAAAAAAAATTAAAAATATGGCTGAAATCGACTCCATAGCCAGTTGTAGAAAAGTTTTTGTGTTTAAGATATAATTAAAAAATATGTGTCATCTTTTGACAAGTTATATTAGTTTATATAATCTGCAGTAAACATTATAATATTAAAATAAATTGTTGTAAAATGCAATAATAATACATCACTATTAGCAGATATTGAATGTTTTTTGGTTGAAATTAGATTCGATTTTCAAACCCATATTTTTTACATGTTACGCATTATCTTATGGTATATATTATTCTTGCTATAATTGTAAATATGTTGCTGCATTATGTATGGTTCATAGTCTTTTTGCAAAGTAATTTATATATGTATAGGTATATATTTTTCTTAATATAAGTAAGATTATATTTGTATTTATTAACTGTATTAAAACATACAATAATAAAAAAAAAACATTTTTAAAATACAAACAAAAATAAGAATACAATTATGTTATCCATGTATTCTACAACATATATATTAATCCGTTATAATCTAACTAGCGTGAACGTCACAAATCTCGCTCCGTGGTTGTTCTATTAGAGACAGCATCTGCTCTAATATTTAGAAGTGTCAAAAGATGATGACATTTTACTTTGTCATTACCAATTCTTTGAACAGGTTTTCGCAAGAAGAGGAAGACTGTCACTTGTTTTATATTTTCCTTTTGTTTAACGAAGTAAAAAGAGTTACCTATCTGATTCGTTCAGGCACTAAGTTTAAAGAATATCAGTAACATTTTTTGCAGAGGGGATTTTATATTTGACATGTTGGTAAAAAATCAACGGTCAAATGTCAAAGTTATTGATTTTATAGAGTATAGCGGGTGAAAATTAGGGGTGCGTGTAATTTATTTGAAAGAATGCCACATTAAAAAAATAAAATAAAAAATCTTGTCGTAAAAAAAAAATTGGGGGTGGACTACCCTTAACACTTAACCACCTAGTTCTCAGCACGTAGCTGATTAGGGTGGTCCGAACTGTATATCGGAAACTTCGGCGGATATTTGCAGACTAAAAATAATAAACAGTTCGTATAGATGTATGTCCGAACTGCTTGTTTCGGAGATACAGGGTGTAGAAATTGCATTTTTTATTTCGACTTTCTTCCAAACTAATTTTGAGTACGTAAGGTTAAATTGGTGTCTGCGAGTTTTTTGACATGAGAAATTTGAATTTTGATGTCAATATGACTCGTACTTTTAGAGGGTGCACCTATAATATTTTTAAAACTAGGTTTGAAATGGTAATACTTTTTGTCCGTACCTTTGTAAAACTACTGAGTAATATACATTTACGACGTTTTTGCGTAAAAGTTCTCTTGGTAAAATGTTACCGAGTATGTTCTCCGAGAATAATTTAGAACGAATTAGGTCAATACATGTCATCATGAAATCATAACATTTGAAATGTTTTTTGTGGGAACCAAAAACTGCTTTTTTATCATCATTTTTTTCGACAGAAAGATTTATTATTAATTTAAAAAATAAAAAAGTGTTTTTTTTTTTTTTATTATTTCAGTTAAATATCTACTCAACATATTTTTTTGTCAATTTTATATTTTTTTTTTATCTCGAGAACCATTTTTTGTAGCGATTTTTACCAAGAGACATTTTTTAAGTAAAAAGTCACGGAAATGTATATTCCATTGAGTTATAATAAAGGAGGAGATGCTATTCCCATATACGACTAGCCAAGAATAACGGTTTCACTGGGCGGAGGTTAAAGTAGCATCAATATGGCGGCGATATCAGTGTTGGACTCAGCAAAATTATGCATTTTTTTAAATATTCTGTAAATTCTAAATAAATTAATGTTTTTTTTATTTTTTAGTTATTAGTTTTTTTTATTTTGAAATTAATTATCTTATTTATAATTTTTTTTTTTTTTTTTTTTTTGAAAAAACGCGCAAAATTTGTTAAATTAAATACCTACTAAATAAAATATAATATTTTTTAATATTATTTTTTTCTAGTATGTATTTTAAAGATAAAATGTATAATTATAGTTTTAAAAAAAATAAAATAAAATACTTTTTTAATTAATATTATAGGGAAATTAAATAAATGGCATTGCTTTTTTATTGGATTAAAAATAAAATTACGAAAAATGCAACTTTCATTTATTACAAAATAGATTATTATGAATATTTATGATACCATTAGAAAAAAGTTGAAAGGTGTATTGCCCCTTCTAAATCTAAATAAGTTTATTGCTTTGATGTCTTTCACTTAAAGATTGTTTTCGAACTATATTATTATGAGGTTATATTCAAAAATTTAAATATCTTTCCTATTAGACTTTTTTATTAATAATGTTGTGATTATCTAAAGTGATTGATCAATAACTGTGTGTACTAATTTAAAAACTTTAAACATATAAATTAATAATAAATAGAAATAAAAAAATAATAAAAAATTTAAACCAAATTTATTATTTTAACAAAGGAATAACCTGTTCAAAAACATTCTAACGATCTACTGTACCAGTTTAGGAGCAAGATTTTTAACAAATCAACCACCACGAGATTTATTTGGTCAATTTGGTATAGGTAAGCCCTTTAAAGTTATGCTGAATCGAGTGGTTTGGTTTGGATTATATACAAAGATTAAAAAAAAGCCTAATGCCACCTTTAACTATTACCACGAAAACTGGAAGTATCTAGATATTTTTAGAACAAGGCTATTTTTGCTAAGTAGATAAAGTTTTTCATGTAAAAACAACCCGAGCCATATTGACATTAATAAACTTTTTTTTCAGAGTGAACCTAAAATAAATGGGTTACACTGTATAATAGCACTATAGTATATTAACACACACCGCAAATAGTATATTAAACACACAACACTGGCATAACATTGCCTTTTTAATTCATATGATTATGATTTATCTTGTTTTTATTACATTTTTCTATGTAATGGTATTTTATATTTATTGTCAAATTGAAACGTAATTTTATTAGTATTTTAAAAAAAAAAAAAAAAAAAAAGAATATATATTAATAAAAATTGGGATATTATTATAATTGGGTATTTAAAGATAATAATACTCAGAGTTCGGCCCTGCATCTTGTTTACCATTACCTATGAAATGTAATTCCTGACGATTTCTTTCTATCGATGGCGTTTTCTGCTACAACTTCGAACAGGACAGTGAGGACCGATTGGGTTGTTTATAGTCCAACACACAGTAAGTCCAGAATAAAACAGAAAAAGTGAAGTCAAAATAACGCGGCAAAAATCAAGAACAGGATTACGCTAGACGGCAATAGCACGAATTGACAAGAGAGTCGCATCAATATGGCCGACCTGGTACCGCTTTGGTCACGTGATAGCATCTCCTCTTTTATTATAACTCAATGGTATATTCTTTCATTCATGGTTTTATACAGGTACGGACGAAAAGTTATTACTCTTCAAAAGTTAAAACACATATAGGTGGCGCCCCCTACAAATAGGAGTCAATCAAATTTCCCATGTCAAAAAACTGCCAGACACCAATTTTCATCCAAATATTGACTTTACTTCAGAAATTATTTTTTTTTTTTTTAAAATTAAATTTTCTACGCCCTGTATCTCCGAAACTAAGCATTTTAGGACATACATTTACATGAACTTTTTTACTTATTTTTATCTGCAGAATATGCTGCCGAAGTTTCCGGAATACAGTTCGGGCCCCCTCTGTATATTAGACAAGTATTTAATTTTGTTATTGCTCTGTATTTAATAAATAAATTTCCTTTTGAATGAATGTGTCTGCTTATCTACAAGTATATTGAGATTTTTTAAAGGTTCTATTATGTTTACAATGTACTTCTTGTAACTTTTCACATATACCTTAATTCTTAGGATATTTTTGACAAACTTATTCAACTATTCATATTTTGGGAAAACTGTATTCATCCACTGCCGTTCTTTAAAAGATCAGCCTGGGGGCGGACTTTTGTTTACTTCATCAGCTGTACATACTTAGATATTGGGTTAGATTCCGTCTCATATTCTGTCGGTTGATTTTTGGTTTTAACTCTTTGATTTTGGTATTATTTATTATTGTAGTGCAAAAAACTAATTATTTTGGTGTTTAAGTGACATAAACTACTACCAGATATATGGTCACTCTCGGTTCCGCATAAAAAATTAGAAAAATTACACGTTGTGTAAGTGATTAACCTAAAAGTGCCCAAAATTTTTTACTTATCTGTCGATTTTGTGTGTGTTTTTAAACTCTAACCAATTCATCATAAAGCTTAAGTGGAGTGGGTTTTTGGTGCTATGCCTCATCTTTGTTGTGTTCCTGGTGGAAAGAATGGTTACTAAGGATAGTTATTATACTAAGCAGCCTAAAGTGTCCGGAAGAGCAAGAAAAGCGGGTACGAGTTATAAATCAAGAGAATTCTATTGAAAATATCTTATTAAAATTTAAAAATAATATTCTCCTATGATGGTATTAATGAAAACTGGACAATTATGTTTATTTTATCATATTGTGGACAATCTCCACTCCAAGTTTTGTTGGTTCAGCTTCGAAAGATAAACACGTAAGTTGGTATTATGATCTAGGGGAAAATAAAGAATATGTGTATTAAAGATCATGAAAAAGATTTATTCATTTTGGGTTCAAATTTTAAAAAAGATTTGTGTAAAGACAAGACTGATACAGTTTAAAAGAAGAATGGGTGTTTTTGTTTTGATTAATATATAATGTATGTCAAGCATAAATATATTTGTTCAGAATTTTTTTTTATTTTTTTTGTATGATTATTTTTAAATACCAAATTAATATCAATATTTAAGTGATGGCTGAATGCAATATGAATAAAATAACAATAAAATTGGTATGAATTGTTGCCATAATCAAAATAAGCCTTTTAAAAATAAGATCCCTATGCGAATTACTTCCACACATATAAATAAAGTAATAAAAAAATAATAGTTATTTATATTTATTAAAAATTTATACGTATCACTTCGAAAAAAATCGGCGTCTAGTTGGCTGGAAATGAACATCGATGACATCTCTAAAACTAACTCTGTAACAATAAAATAATTAATAGGAATTGTACAATCTGGAAAATTTTGATATATCTTGGAAACTTGGTTTCAAAATTCTAAATTTTTTTGTTTATTCTTGGGGAGTTAGGTTCGGAGAACAACGCTGACTAAGTTCCTTCATTTGGTTTTCATGTAATACTTTTTACTTCTTTGGTTTATAACAAACAGACAAGTTTGGCTAACCATTATAAGCCTTACAGTCAGCTGTCTTGTCATATGGAAAAAAAAACTTCAAAAAAAAAAAAAAAAAAAAAAAATACCTATAAAATATTCACACCACGCAAATAATGTTTACTGCGTACTGCGTACTCCATGAGTCAATGTAGATAAGTTTAGTGTTAAGACATTATGCAATTTAAAAAATGTGTGGTCATGTTTTGATTAGTTTATATTAGCTTATTAATTGCAGTAAATACTATGTGGTGGAATCTATACTTGTAAGTATGTAATTTTTGGCATTAATTCGACACTATTTTTCCTCATATAACACAACACTGATGAAGGATATAGTTAGCCGAAACTTTTTTAAACCAACATCAAAAAAATTGAAAAATAAATAAATGAAAACAAATGAAAACAATCAGCGTTTTCCCGAATCTAAAAATCCCAAGAAAACTCAACAAAATTTTAGAATAATTTTACACATAAAATGACAAAATGACAGCGATCTTCATTCATAGCCATCGCTGACTGCGTTTTTTTTCGTTTTTTAAAAAAAAATTATTTGCAAATTATAATTTTCTTCGAACATTGATACTTGCAAAATATACATATAAATCTTTGTGAAGCCAAAATACATAATATATTCGTATTAGTTAGTATTGAATGTTTTTTGTTAATTAGATCGATTTTCAAACTCCAAAATTTAAATATATTTACATCGAACCCATTATCTATGTACCTATACATTATTGTACATTAAACATTTGCTTGCATTTGTCATGGATCATAGTTATTTTGCCAAAATATATTCATTACTATAAAATAGGTATATATGTGCTAGTTTAATGTATATTATGTATAAAAAAAAAAAAAAAAAATATTCATTTTTTTAAATACAACCAAAAATCTGAGGAATAATTATGTTTTCCATGTATTCTACAACATATTTATTAATCCGTTATATCTAACTAGCGTGACGTCATAAATCTCGCCCGTGGGCTGATCTTTTAATAGAAGGCACTGATTCATCATTTTTAAAATTTAGATGGGATTTCCTATGTTCCAAAACATGGAATGTTAGAGCGGCTCTATCTTTACTTATTTCTCTGAAATCAAGGACCAACTTACTCTGTATGATTGCAGGGGCCGGATCTGGCGGTAAGTGGACGGGAGCCCCACATTTCGGCTTCAAATAGAAATGGTAAGCGATGTAGTAGATGAATGCCACCACTGCAGCTGCTATGGTGAATCCCTGATGGACCCGGTTGAAGTTGTACGGGTACTCGTCGTAGGCTATTCCACCTAGGAGAGCCCCAAAACATCTACCTGCAAAAACACAACATCATAGTTTTTGTATGTATAATAAATATAACTTATTTAGTCTATCTCGTAATACTATACAATACAAATATTAGTCCTTGCAAGATAGGCCTTCAAGATTACGGAAGTTTCCACTGGTAAAAATACCTTGCGAATTTATGACTATAAGTTACTTGAAGATCACTAAAAACGGAATTGATGAAAGCAATTCTTTTTAATTTCACCCCCAAGAAGGGGTGAAATAAATAAATAAAATTATTTTTTCGAAAATTCGGAGAAACGGCAAGGACAAAAAAAGCCGAAATAAGAGTTGTAGAGCGTTCAATTTTACTTAAAAATGGTATCCATACTTTTTTTGTTCAAATCAAAATTAACCGAGATAGGGTGGATAGAAACTAGGGGACAACTTTTATTGAAACATTTTTTTATCAAATGAGTCCTTACCATTTTTCTGAAATTTGGAAAAAAAACACTTTATTGGGGTGAATTTAAAAAAAATCTTAATTGAAATTTATAATTTTCCAAACAAATTGAATAAAAAAGTTAAATATATGAATTTTTCAGCAACTTATAATTTTTTTAAATTTCTACTATCATCCCCTAGATTCTAGCCACCCTATCTCGGTTAATTTTGATCTGAGCAAAAAAAGTATAGAGATCATTTCTATGTAAAATTTGACGCTCCACAACTTTTATTTGATTTTTTTTTTCTAGTCGTTATATACCGTTTCTCCGACAAAAAAAATTAATCACCCCTTCTCGGGGGTGAATTAAAAAAAATCTTTCACAATTCGTTTTTAGATCTTTCAAAGTAATAACCTATATTAAAAATATATGTATGTATATACATGGCTTATATAAAAAATTCAAGTTTTTACCAAAACTTCATATTTAAAGGCCTATTTTCTTGGACTATACTATGTACCCCTTTGCATATCAACTATCATCAACTTACCTAAACAGAAATGAGCAATAACTGGCAGTGCTTGACCACAAGCTGTCAATTTCCTGGGCACCAAATGCCTCAGATACAAAACGGCAGTGACGTACATGACGTGGAGTGTGAATATTTCCAGAAATTCGCACAAAAATAGAAGTTTCGCGTTGTCCACACATATCAAAGCTGAAAATAAATTAAAATAAGTCTATAATAAGTGCAAAATTCTATTTTTCAAATACAAATATATATACAAATACAAATACTTTTTTTATTTTTCCATCTAATTTCTTGTTAATCTTTTAAAAATAATTAAATTTTGGTAATGAGATGGTTAGTTTAACTGTTTTTTAAATGAATGAAAGTCTTACTTAAGTGATGACAGATATAGTTGACGAAACAGAAAATCAGAAGATTCGAATGACCACAATAGTCAACAATTTTTTCAGCATAGTACAGGAAAACTACAGCAGGCAGTGCCCCGATAGTGACAGTCAGTCCTATAATCAGTGGCTCACCATCTTCCATTTTCACTACATGCCTGGAAAGTTTAATAACTCTTATTAAATACAAACATAGGTAATAAAAAGCAGTGATGTTCTTACCATGGTAAGTAGGTATCAATCGAGTTCCAGAAAATACCAAGGAGGAACAGTATGATCCCCAAAGCAGCTGTTTCAAGTCCATATTTCCTTACAGAAGACAATGGTAAGGCTAGAAGACCACATCTGGTGTGCCACCACCATTCTGGTGGACTCAGTGGCATTTTTCTGTAAAATAATATAGTTTTGAATCTATATCTTCAATCAGTAGTATCATTTTTTCTAAATATACAGCCCAAGCAGCATTTGGACGTCGGGACAACGTTGTGTCACGCGACCAAACGTCGGGGCGCAACGTCGGCACAACCTCGTGCCAACCCTAGTCTGCACTAGTTTGGAGAATAATTTTTGGGTCGAAACGACGTTGTATACCGACGTTGGCTAGAAGCCTAATTTAGTACAAACTGCAACGTTGTTTAAAATCCTAATTTACAGAAATACAAAACTAATATGGCGTCTAAGTCGCGTTTTATCTAAATTGGGATAATTATAGTAAAAATATTATATTTATAATTTAGTTAGAGACATATGTCAGATGGCAGTGAAGGAAAACAAAACAAAAGTATTTAAGTGTGGAGGATGTTTGAAGATCATAATTATTGAAACACTTTAACCGACTCTGTAACTCGTTACCCAAGGTAAAAAGTTAAACGCAAACAACTTTATTGATAAATGTATTGTTTCTACTTTAAAAAATACTAATGGGCCTTGAAATTAAAGAAGTTTTAAAAATTTTCTTGAATTTTTTTTTTAGTAAAATGAGAATAATTTATTCGCATTCGAAAAAATTGTTTCCGCGTATTTTTTAGGGTCAAATATTTCAAGTTAATGTATTCAAAAAGCAGGAATTGCTATTTTAAGAACGAAACATTTTCTTATTTAACAACATGGCGGCTTTAACTTTGTTGTTTTGGAGATTAAGATGGAGTAGTTCGAGTAGTCGCATACTGGACTAATAAAGTCGCAGTTCGGCCTTAACAGGTAGTATACTAGTCGCAAGATTGCCTAATTTAGTCATTCTAGAGTCTAGCTTGTGCCGCCCTCTATAATCTAAATAAACGAGGAAGTGTCGGTAATATATGTCGATGTATATTTAAATTTAGTTTTATATGTACCTTTCTTATGTCCCATTTTAATTAAGTTTTTTTTTTATAAAAACAAAAACAGCACTGAACTGTCTGACTGAACAGAACAATGAATTGAAAATTTAAGATTTAAGGTTATGGTTCAATACAGTTGCAAAAAGGTAGTGACTCTACGTCCTACCAACGTAAGAATAAGGAAATCTAAACAACGTTGGAATTAGTAAAACAGACGACGTTTGCATAACGTTGGAATAGGTCCTGAAACTGACGTCGGAAAACTCTATATTATCCAACGTTGTAACTACGTTGTCCAAATCACCTAAAGATCACTTAAGCAGAAAAGGTTACAAGACAACGTTTATTCGACGTCGCAGAAGCTTCTACTTTGCTGTAGTACTAGTCCAACGTCGGCACAACGTTATAAAAACGTTTAAATTTATTTTAATACCCAAGGTAGGGAGCTAACTATTTTTTGTAACTAATCCAACGTTGTGTTTAGTAAACATGTGGTCGCAAGTCGTGAAATTGCTACTTGGGAGGGCGAGTCTTAAATAAATAATATTCGACCTCGGGAACACGTCTACACAGAACAGGTACCATTGCGATAAAAAAAAGTAGTACAACAAAATATGATTTAATCTGCTGGTCTATAATAAAATAAAAAAAACTTGAAAAATTGCCCATTTTTAAAAGGTAGGTAAATTTTTTATACTTTTATTTCGCCACGTATACCTACCAATTATTACCAAATTCATGGTAACGCCTAAAAAGTTAGGTGGCATAATTGTATTGTTCGACGATATCAACTTCTCGATATCCTTATAGACCAGGGAGTTCTATCTGGGACTACTAATTCTGTACTACTTTTTTGAGGTTTATGTCTATGAGGTTTTTTTTTTGGCAAAGAAAGATGTTCAAAACTTTTAGAACTGCTTGTTTACCGCAAATTTTCCCAGGGTATGATTTCTTAAGGATTTCTTAATTTCTGATATGGTTACGGTTATACTACAGAAGAGATATTGTACAGGGTGGGTCAAATTCGACGCTTTTAAATGGAAACACCCTTTTCTATAGGAGATAGACTAAACTAATATCGGTGTCTGGAGCTCAATTTTTGTCAAAAACATGATGGTGAAAACCGCATATCGATATCTGTTACCGTTTCGGAGTTACGGGGTGTTTTTCAAAAATATGCATTTTTAACAAATCGCTGTAACTCTTTTGCTATGGAAAATTTTGTATTTTTATGAAAACATTTCCAAGGCACCTTTTTACGTAGAATTTAATGGTTTAAGTATAATTTTTTTAAAATTATTAATTTAAGAATTATCAACAAAAAATTTGATTTTTTATGTGGGACACCCTGTATATTTTTAATTTATTGAAAAGAATTTAAAATTACCTTTCCAAAAATATAACATACTTAATATTTTGCTCGATTCCTCTTCGAGATATAGAGTATATAAAAATTCGCCCGCTTTAAATGAGTAGGCTTTGAACGGCACCGGCTGTAATGCAAAAAAATTCTAGCTGTGAGCATCAATTAAAACGAAAATAATATTTGCTATGAGAGATGCAGAATTTTATAACAATTTAAAAATATATTTAACCCACATCACAACACATTTAAACTATATCTCATAACAATAAAAATAAATAGCAAACCAGGACATGAGATTTTGCTACAGGTGTTCGACATATCGACCGTCTTCTGTTATGGACAGACGGGGCAGTTTTTGAACATTTCTCGCGAAATTCATTAACTCAGTGGGGGTGAAACATAACCCTCTCATAACTGCTAAGTATTTCTAATTCTTGTCTAGATTATACGGAAGAATAAGGAACCTTTTTTTCGCAAATATATTGATAGGATTAGATCCATGGGCACTAAGTCAGGCGGCCTCGACGGCCAACGGCTGGGATCTTGGTTAGCTATTCAAATATTCTTGAAATTGGCTGCAGAAATTTGCTAATAACTTCAGCGTTCAGAGCCGGTGCGTCGTCTTGCTGGAAAAATATGTTTTCGAGTTCCATTAGAGGTATATCATCAATAAGGGGTCCAAAGCCTACTAGTTAAAAAGTGGCGAAGTTTTAAAATTCCGTATTTCGAAGAGGATTAAACAAAATATCAAGTGTGCTATATTTTTGGAAAGGTAATTTTAGATTCTTTTCAGTTAATTAAAAATATAGGGGGTGTCCTAAATAAAAAATCAATTTTTCTATTGAAAACTCTTAAATTATTAATTTAAAAAAAAATATATTTAAACCATTAAATTCTACGTAAAAAGGTGCTTTGGAAATGTTTTCGTAGAAATACATTTTTTTTGCTTTGAAATAAATTTTCCATAGCAAAAAAGTTACAGCGATTTGTTAAAAATGCACATTTTTGAAAAACACCCCGTAACTCCGAAACGGTAACAGATATTGATGTGCGGTTTTCACGATCATGTTTTTGATGAAAATTGAGCTCCAGACACCGATATTAGTTTTCGTCTATCTCCTATAGAAAAGGGTGATTCCATTTAAAAGCGTCGAATTTGACCCACCCTGTACAGTACGTCTGCTGGATCTTTGTCTATGAAAGGAATGCGGACAAAAAACATTTAAATAAACAACAATATATTTTATACGTTGACTTGACGAGTACGTCACCGCAAATCGCTCCGCCCACTCATTTTATTGGCTACTTGCAAATTTGTCGAATTTTTATTGATGGGACGCGTCGTCTAATTTTTTACGAAAAACATCGAGAGAATATCGTTTCCCCTCTCACGGATACCCCGTAGCTACAGAACGGACAGACGTACTGTATCTGTATCTGTTCTGTGGCTATACTCTATGGTTACGCTACTCAAAGGGATGCAAATACAGAACAAATCCGGTGGCCCTCAAATTTTTTAAAAATAAATCAATTTTTTAAAAAATTTTCAAACTTGAATAACTCGGTTATTTTGGACTTATTTGAGAAGCGATAAAGAGAAAATATGTTTCTTTAATCGAGATCTACCAACCCTGAAAATATTTGCACTTATTTAAGACTCACCCTGTATAAAGAGCTTCAATATACAGGGTGAGAGAAAAAGTGTATTTAACTTCGGTGGGTACTACAGATAAGAAGAGTTCCTATGAAAGGGTAAATAAAAATAATATATTTTGTTTATTTTTAAGAACATTTAAAACTGTTTTTCTTGAAATTTGGTACTCCTCTACACATTTTAATGCCAAAACAAATGGCGATAGTGTAAAAATCCGTTACAGTCCTGAAAGGGTACTACTGGTGGTATTTTTTTATCCAATGATACAGTATTTTCAACAGATAACATAAAAAACTAGGAGGATATTTTACGCAAAAAATGTTCTTCGTTTTGTTCAAAACGGTGAACAGTTTTCAAACCTTTTCACGTATACTTACTCATCTACAATTAAGATGATAATAGCCAAACCATCAATACACTGAAACAGATCATGCCTTCGAAAACCTTCCATTAGCACATCCCCGATTATAGGTGCAAAATGGCGAAACCCAGCGCACCCAAGGCGAACTGTTTTCCTATATCACCACGGCCGGTAGACGTCTCCCTCGTAGCGATGACTACAGCTGTAGCAATCAGCGCTACAGCAGCTGCCAAGAAGATGTCGGCGAAGGATTTAATGAAAAGATATAACCTGGAACAGATAGTATTTGTTAAAACCTTTGATTAAAAAGGTTAAAAAAGTTCTAGATATTTACCAAAAGCTTATGTTATCATATCCGCATTGAGATCTTTTCAATAGAGAGTCCGTTCCATTGTAAGGGTCATGTATTTCGCATAAAATGACAGGTTGACAGTCTTCGTTCCCGTAGTCTCTTTTGATTTGTTGAGCTTTTAACACAGGAATGCGGCAGTGGAAATATTCGTCTGTAAATAAAACAAATACATATAGAAGTTAATTTATGTATGTAAGATGAGACAACTATTACAGGTCTCCCTCGCATTACGCGGGGGATACGTTTCTTAAAAACCTTTCTTTTCCTTTTATTTAAAAAAAAAAATTAAGCAACAATATATTTTTTTAAATTTTTAAAGCGAAATAACTCGGTTATTTTGAACATTTGAACATTATTTTCAGCATTTGCTTTTATTTAAGACTCACCCTGTATAATAAATACATAATATGTATTATGAAGAACATTTCTACAACTGTGTATGTGAACAATATACCGGGTGCGTGTCAAAAGTGGCTCACCCCTACAACTTTTTTTATTTTTTCAGATATATTAGGATTGATTGACATATTCAATTGTTTTGTGTCACTTCCGGTTTCACCGGAAATGACTATAACTTTTGATTTTTAAATGGCACCCTCGGTATTTTTTTTATTCGATAGACAATGACACTCTGACTAGAATGATATATCATATGTCAACTTTTGACATTTTCGCATATGGTTTATTTGAAATTATAACATGCGGTTCATAACGACAATTTGACTCGAAATACCAAAAACTGAACTAGACTGTGTGTGGTATCAAATTATTCGTAAAAAATTATTTTTCCAAATATGCTAATGAGCCACCCACGTTCCATTTGAAAAAATTGAGATATGATTAATAATACGATTTGGGCATCTTTTAACAGGCCAGGACAAGACACTAAAAACATTAGACAATCAAATCTATTTTTCAAGGTTCTTTGATTAAAAATTACTGTTTTTAACACAGCCATGGCACTCTAGATTGAAATTTAAAATACAATAATTGTGATTTAAATGAAAATGTCAAAAGTTGACATATGATATGACATTCTATTCAGTCATTTTCTATCGAATAAAGTAAAAACATCTGAGGGTGCCATTTAAAAATCAAAATTTGTAGTAATTTCCGGTGAAACAGGAAGTGACTAAAAAGAATTGTCAATCAATCCTAATTTATGTCATATACGTACCAAACCTCGTTTTTTTTTATCTGAAAAATAATAAAAGTTATAGGGGTGAACTACTTTTGAGACGCACCCGGTATATATGTGTATATAAACAAATGCAAGGAATGCAATATGAACAAAATGCAAATGCAATATATGTCTACAAACATATAAATAAATCTATGACACGAATGCCCCACAGAGACTTTTTGATTAATTTTCAAAGTTCTTTCTTCAATTTTCAAAGATCATGTGCTGTATGGCATATGGACAAAGTTTTTGAGAAATAGCGTATAAATATGCCGCGTAAAACGAGTGACCCCTGTATTTACATAAAACGATAAAAAATACTCTACCTGGTCTATATTGCTGATATATTAACTATTACTGTATAAAAATCGTTAAATTATACTATATCAATAATATTAGTATCTGTACTCTTTGAAAATGTGTTACATCTTTAAAAATAATCTAAATTGTAAATATTCCATGGGTATAATGAGGTATAAATTATAAAAAAATGCATTTTCTACGAAAACTTGAAGAGTTGGGTAAAAAATGGCATAATACAATTTGATAGACCATTAAATTTTGCATCTGATTTACGTAAAATATACAGGGTGTTCGATTTAAATTAAACAAGTTATTGCCGTTTAAACCTATCAATTATTTAATATAAATTTTTGGACACTCTGTATGAGGTAGTTATATTTTTATTATTGCAACGCAATATCCGATCAATAAATAATCTTCATTCGTATTAAAAATTTGGAGAAATGAAGCCTTAAAATTTTTACTGCAATTTCATAAAATTGAAAATATTTCAAAAACGGTAAAGTTTAAGTGTGATAAACCTTAATCAAATTCACCTTTATTTCAATCGTAAAATCTAAAAATAAAATAATATACAGGGTGTTCCATTTAAAAAATACAATTGTAATACTTTTTACTTATTTGGGACAGTCTGTATCTTGTAAAAATATTTTTAAATTGTAGCTATAATGGTCCTTCAACGAACCCAAAACTGTTCGTAATTACGGTATGTGGTGAACAACCCTGTATACATTTAAATAAATAAACCTGAGCTACTTACCAAATGGGTACTTGCACGTTGCTTCTGTGTCATTATCCACACTGTCTGATGGTCTCAGACCCAGGTTGAATCTGATTGGCCACGAAAATTCAGTGTAAACTTCACACACTGTATCGCCACTGACATTCTTGAAGCACATGTGCGGGTAAGGTTCACTAAAGTAGCTGTCTATACTTGATGGAGGAGCAAACTATAATAAGAAATAAGTATTAATTAAGAAATTACTTATTTTTCTAATGTTATAATTTCGTTATTGATAGAGAAATATACTTACACCTTCGGGTTCGTTGAGTATGCTGGACTCAGTTGCTTCGTAATCGCCATCACCATACTCTGAACTGACTTCTTCTACTTCTGGTAGAGGGTTGTTTTCGCTCTTGTATGACGATGTGGCATTGCAGGAGAATATGCAGTTTTTGACTAGAACTGAACCTTTCTGCAAACAGAGTAAATAATCATTTTTAGTTTAGGTCAGTACAAAATATAGAGAGTATCGTTTTGGTTGTAAATCTCTCGCTTATTAGTAGTTATCTATACTAATACATAAAATCCTTTAGTGACTCACTGATTAATCATGATCCTGCTCAAACCACTCAACGTAAGACGCTCAATTTTGGCATACAGGTTGACTCTAGGGTGTAGAGGTATGATCAGAAGGGATTTTTCGAAACTCGAATTCTAAGGGGTGAAACCACCCCTCAAAAATTTGAATATTTTTTATTTAAAAACCGGAGAGTTTTTTTTCAAACACGTATATTTTATTTTGTTGTTTTATATATTTTAAGATTTTTTAAAAATTTATACAGGGTGTTTCATAAAATATGCCCATTGAGTAATCACGATTCTGCTTAAACTGCTTGACGTTTAAAGCTGATTTTTGGCAAACGGATTGACTGTGAGGTGTAGAGGTTCGATAAGGAGGGGTTTCTCGAATCTAAAATTCCAAGGGGGCGAAAACGCCCCTCAAATATTACAATATTTGTTATTTAAAAAACGGTTAGTCTTTCGGGAAAACGCTTGGACACGCATAATTTATTTTGTTTTTTTACATATTTTGAAATTTTTTAAAAATCATACAGGGTGTTCCAAAAAGTTGGGTAATTGATTAACCACGATTCTGCTTAAACTACTTGACGTAAAAAGCCTATTTTTGGCAAACGGATTTTTCGAAAGTCAAATTCCAACGAGATGAAACTACCCCTCAAATATTACCAAGTTATATAATAATATCGCCATATTGTCTTTTCTCATGCTGACATAAATGTGAGAAAATTTTATCCAGTTTGTATGTTAATGGAAATTCTTGCTTTGCTTTATCATCACCATTACAAATGATTAATTCGACGTGAACGAAGTCGCGGGTATTACACACTACACGCTAGTATTTTATATTCTTCTTACCCCTGATCCCCAATTATAACATGTCCTTTCAGCACCACATCGATCTTGGAGGATAAAGCCTCCTTCTTCATCACAGACAAATGACACATTTGGAGGGCTTCTTATCTGAAAAAGAAATCACGGCAAAATCAGTAAAATTAAACAGAAAAATCTACAACGTTCAGAGTGACAAAAAATTTCTTAAAAAATATCTTGAAATGTACTGTTTATGTTTTTTTTTTATTTAATTTGTTTGTCATCTCTATAGGTTGTTGTCATATAGTGTTTTTATCACTCTGAATAAATTACTTACTATGGGCGGGATGATAATAAGGAGCCAATAAAATAGGGTTGCTAGTAAGCAACTTAATGCTATCATAACACGGAGGTATCGTCCTGTTTTGCTTCTAGGAGCACCCCCAAAACCACCTGGAATCAATATAAAAACGACATAAATTTAAAAATCAATAACTATTATGGTAGTCCGGATATTTGAAAAAATATCTGTAGGTCTTATATTTTAATAAAATATCGAGGATAATATTTATAGTATTTTACAAAAGTCAAACCACGTACTAGTCAATTGAACATAATTGAATATGAAATCTGAAAAAAAATACTAATGTTCGGTTGTACTCACCTGCTAATCTATCAGCTAAGGGCGCAGCTACCAAAGGGCCAATGAGAGCTATCAAGGGTGCTACGGAAGACACTATAACAGCTTCATCTCTGGATAAGCCCCAAATAGTCATCTGAAGAGGCAGGAAAGGCAGTAGAGATCCGATTGCTAAAATAAGGAAGAAATCATAAATTAAATTAAAAAGAAACACATATTATTGAATAAGGATTTTATATAGATATAGGATTGATATAGATAAACATTTTTTTTAATTTTTGTATTATTAAGTTAAATATAAAAATAAATAAATAATTTTTTTCAGAAAAAAAGAGATTTTGTATGTTTGGATATGATAATAAATTAGGATTGATTGACATATCGAATAATTGTTTTCGGCCACTTCTTGTTTCACCGGAAATTATTACAACTTTCGATTTTTAAATGGCACCCTCTGCATTTTTTTACTTCATTTTACTTATTTGGATATCTTTTAATTGGCCAGTAAAAGACACGAAAAATATTAGACGATCAAATCTATTTTTCCAAGGCTCCTTGATTAAAAATTATTGGTTTTAACACAGCCATCCAGATTGAAATTTAAAATGCGATTTTTTTAAAATAGAACATGTCAAAAGTTCACATATGATATGTCATTTTAAATGATCAGTGACAAAGTGATCGAAACTAACTAAATACGTCAATCAATGCCAATTATTGTCATACACTAACATACCAAATACAATTTTTTTTAACCGAACAAATAAAAAAGGGTAAGCCACTTTTGAAGAACACCCGGTATGGTTCTTGCTAAATATTTATTGTGTTTTTCTTGAAAATAAAGTCGTAATAGAAAAATTAACAAATGTGTGACACTTTTTGACAAAATTTAAAAAAATTATTTGATAATTTCTTAATAAATTTGTACTTACCTCCAAAAAACAGAAATATCACACATTTTAGAGACAGGAGATTCTTGTTAATAAATTTGATGTCGCCCATTTTCGTTTCTATTTACACTAAAAACACTATTTCGAATCAGTCGGACAGTATTTCGTACAGATTTGAACACTATAGCGCAGCCTTTTCATCTCTTTGTCGTGGTGT